GCTTCTAAGAAGCCTTCCCCCCTCCCTCTGCCCCCCTTTGCATGTGGCTGACAGTACGCAGAGCGAGCTCCACAATGGCAGCAGAGGGCAGGCCAGGTCTAGGCAGAGTAAGCTTGGGAGGGGATCCAGGATTTCTGCTTCGGGGGGGGGACGAGCACCTACACGGCTTCTTGGAGATTCTGGGGGTGCGTGATGGGGGGGAGGAGAGACTTGAAGTGAGACAACCCTGGATCTCCTTGGCCTAGTTAACCCCGCTTCCTGGTGTCACCACCCTGGCGAGCACAGTGGTTGCAAGTGACCACCACTGCTGGCATTCAATAACAACGCAATCGTTATGCAAAACGAAAGAGTGTGCTGGGGGGCTTCTCCGTAATGCCGCTGGGTCAGTCAGACAGGGGGGGAGAGAGAGAGAGAGAGAGGGAGAGAGGGGTAAGGAGCGGAATCGAACGAGGGAAGAGAGAGCAAGGAGGAGCGAGAAGCGTGGAGTGCAACCATCTCCCTCGCCATGGTCGCCTTCGCCCCATCTGGCAGGGGAGTAGGGGCGGGGGGCGTCCCTGAACCTCTCGAACCCTTCCCGGGGACCAAGGCTTCGCCCCAAATTATCATGTATTGGTCCTGTGGGCCCGAATGCGAATCCCTGGAGGCATAACACTTAAACACACCCGCACACACATACACATACACGCTAAAACTATCGCGCGCTTCGCACCCGCTGAGATTCCAGTCGAGGACGCAGGCGGGGTCACAGGACATAGGAGTGAGAAGGGATACTCTCGACAGGGGGGAACCACTATCTGGCCGCCACACCGTGACGGTGCAAGCGCCACCGTCGCCGTCGTCGCCGTCGTCGTCGGTCGTCGGTCGTCGATCGTTGGTCGTCGGCGTCGGCGTCGGCGTCGGCGTCAGCGTCGTCGTCGTCGTCTTCGTGGTCGTGGTCGTGATCGTGGTCGTGGTCGTGGTCATGGTCGTGGTCGTGATCGTTGTCGTGGTCACAGTCGTGGTCGTGGTCGCAGTCGTGGTCGTGGTCGTGGTCGTGGTCTTGGTCGCGGTCGTGGTCGTGGTCGTGGTCGTGGTCGTGGTCGTGGTCGTGGTCGTCGTCGTCGTCGTCGTCGTCGCCGCCGCCGCCGTCGTCGTCGTCGTCGTCGTCGTCGCCGCCGCCGCCGCCGCCGCCGCCGCCGCCGTCGTCGTCGTCGTCGTCGTCGTCGTCGTCGTCGTCGGCGTCGGCGTCGGCGTCGGCGTCGGCGTCGGCGTCGGCGTCGGCGTCGGCGTCAGCGTTTTCGTCGCCGTCTTTCATAAAAATTCGTGTGGGCTTTGAGCCATGGTTCACCCGCCTGTGGCCTTCCGCTTGCGGGGACCATCGGAGACATCCGGAGCTCGGCGCGAGGCGGCCCCCACGGGCCCCCAAAACTTGTGGTTCCCAACCATCTTGTGGTGTTGGGTCCCCGTTTTGAAGAAACAGCGCCCCGCGTCCCCGGGTTCCTCACTCCTTCTGTCCTCCTCCCGCTCCTCTCCTCACGCCCCTGCCTCTGCCCTCCGCATGTCTATTTCGGCGCACCCCGCACACGTTTCGTGGCCCCACAGGCTGCGTTCGCTTGGCGGCACCGCACTGATTTCAGCACACCCTGCATACGTTCTGTGGCCCCATCGGGAGATCCACCGAAGGCCTCCATGGCTGGGTTCGCATGGCGGCACCACATCCATTCTGGCACACCCCTCGCGAGCATCGTGGCCCCATTCAGAGCCTCACCGAGGGCCCAACTGGCTGCGCTCACATAACAACAACGCGCCCATTTCGGCACACCCGTCACGAGCATCGTGGCCCCATTCGGAGCTCCACCGAAGGCCCAACTGGCTGCTTTCGCATGGCGGCCCCGCGCCCATGTCGGTACACCCCTCACGAGGATCGTGGCCCCAGAAGAGGAGCTCCACCGAAGGTCCCAGCGGCTGCGTTCGCATGGCGGCACCGCACTCGTTTTGGCACACCTTCACGAGCATCTTGGCCACATAGGGAGCTCCACCGAAGGCCCAACTGGCTGCGTTTGCACGGCGGCACCGCACTCAGTTCGGCACACCCTTCACGCGGCCCGGGTTGCGCCCTGATCAACGAGGAGCGCCCAAGTAAGGGAGGGCCCAAGGAAACCCGAGCACCTTGTAGCCAACACTGCCCTTGTTCCAACGCACTGCTCCATTCCCTATGAACGGCTGTCCCAGAGGTTCCCGCAAACGGGGTGAATGAGGAGGGGGGAGGAGCAGGGGGAGGAGGAGGAGGAGGAGGAGGAGGAGGAGGAGGAGGAGGAGGAGGAGGAGGAGGAGGAGGAGGAGGAGGAGGAGAAGGAAGAGGAAGAGGAAGAGAAGAAGGGGGAGAAGGAGCAGCAGGAGGAACCATTCATCCCATCTTGCTGAACCCCCGAGACGACGTCGTCGGCCCCATCCCTGCGAAGAGCGCCAGCAGTCGCGCCCCCGCACCACCGCCCGCGCTGCCGCAAACGTCTGCGCCAGCCTGGCAGGCGGGGGAAGAGGAGAAAAGCAGAGAGAAAGAAAGAGAAAGAAAGAGAAAGAGAGAGAGAAAGAGAGAGAGAGAGAAAGAGAGAGAGAGAGAGAAAGATAGGGAGGAAGAGAGAGAGAGAGAGAAAGAGAGAGAAAGAGAGAGAAATAAAGAGAAAGAGAGAGAAAGAGAGAGAGGAAGAGAGAGAAAGAGAAAGGGAGCGCGAGTCCACTGAAGGGCGGGGCCCGGGAACTCCCAAAGAAATATTCCAGGCCCCAAGGAGGCCCCCCACGGGAATGCGTGCCTGACAGAGGGAGTCGGGGACCTACTGACCGGGTAAATCCAGACCCGGGTCCGTCAGGCTGTGCAAGATCCTGCAGGATCCTGCAGGATCCTGCAGCTTCTTGCACCCAAACCTGGGTGAACGCGACCCTGGCCCTGCAGGATCCTGCAAGATCTGGCGCTCTGATTGATCCCCGTTTGCACTGACCCCCGTCTCTTGAGCCCCGATGATCCTCCCCCTCCCTTCCCGTGGAGCCCTTTGGGTAGGAGGGAGGCGGAGCGATCCCCGCAGCTTTCCACTGAGTGGCGACGCGCCACATCCTCGGAGATTCGGGCAGCCCCCATTCCCTAGTAAGTTCCGATTGAACCAGCGAAGGCGTCTTATAGAATTCTGACGGGACGCTGAGATCAGCACGTGTCCTTCCGACTGCAGATTGAAACAAATACATGAAATATGAACGCACCCTGCGGGGGGTTGGGGCCAGCGCACTTCCCATTCAACTCGTATTGAACACCACATAAGATATAAAAGCAGTACGCGGGAGGCTGGGATCCGCGCAGTTCCGATTGAAGCCGCATTGATAACACAACGAATATGAGATCAGTGTGCAGAAGGCTGGGATCAGCGCATTGAGTATCAACGCTCGAAAGAAAGCGCATGGAATATTACAGAACTCTGCGGTTGGCTGGGACCAGCGCGTTTCCTTGTGCACTCGAAAAACTAGATTATCCCAGTGCGACCCTACCTAGGAGTTGGAGCCTCTAGGAAAGCAACATTAGTAGGATATATATATATATAGCAGCAGCAGCAATAGTGGATGCTGTGCTGCGCTCTGCTATGCTATGCCATGCTCTGCTCTGCTATGCTATGCTGCGCAATGCTATGCTGGGCTAGGCTAGGCTAGGCTAGGCTAGGCTAGGCTAGGCTATGCTGCGCTATGCTATGCTGCGCTATGCTATGCTATGCTATGCTACGCTATGTTTTTACTTTGCCTTCGCTTTTGCCTTCACTTTTGCCTTTGCTTTTGCTTTTGCTTGGCACCCAGGGAGCGCAATTGGGGGAACCGCGCGTTTGCTTTTACCTTTGCTGTTGCTTTTGCTTGGCTCCCAGGGGACTGGGGGAACAGCCCGGGGCGGGCGGGTTACACTGCCCGGCCCCTTTAAGCTACAGAGTAAGAACCCTTCTAGGCAGAGCCTAGGCAGGGAAAAAACATTATAGATTCTTGCGGGGGGATGGGAGAAATGCATTTCTGAATGGACAAAGGTCGATAAACAAGTAACAAGGTTTGGACTTCTGCGGGCAGGTGCCTCCCCAAGGAAGCCATCAAGAGGCCCCCCCTGTTCCGTTTCAGGCGAGATCCGGGAAATCCGACGAATCCGGCGAAATCTGGCGAATCCGGCGAATGTGGCGACGAAATCCACACCGGCGCCCTCGCGTGTGACCTCCTCAGAAAAACCGTCCCCGGAGCCTCCCCAAGGGGACCCTCAGAGGCCCCCCTGTTCCATTTCAGGCGAGATCCAGGAAATCCGGCGAATCCGGCAAAATCCACCGAATCCGGCGACGAATTCCAAACCGACGCCCTCACGTGGGACATCCTCCAAAAAAAACACCCCTGGAGCCTCCCCAAGGAGGCCCTCAGAGGCCCCCCTGTTCTGTTTCAGGCGAAATCCAGGAAATCTGGCGACGAATTTCAAACCGGCGCCCTCGCGTGGAACGTCCTCAGAGAAAACGCCCCCGGAGCCTCCCCAAGGGCGCCCTCAGAGGCCCCCCATCTGGCGACGAATTCCAAACCCGCGCTCTCGCGCGGGACATCCTCAAAGAAACCGTCCCCAGAGCCTCCCCAAGGAGGCCCCAGCGAGAGCCAGGAAATCCGGCGAATCCGGCGACGAATTCTGGGAAAGAGGAGGAGGAGGAGGTGGCGGAGGAGGAGGAGGAGTAGGAAGAAGAGGAAAAGGAGGAGGAGGAGGAGGAGGACGACGAGGAGGAGGGGGGAGCAGGAGGAGGAGGACGAGAAGGACGAGGAGGAGGAGGAGGAGGAAAGGTCGGGGTGGTGGAGGAGGAGGAGGTTGTGAGCATGAGAGCGGGAGGGGCTGGATGCCTGCACGGTCAGGGTCAATGGTAGAAGCGTGTCGGGACGTACCGTACAGCCGACGCGGTGGCTTCGAGGAAGAGGAGGAGGAGGAGGAGGCCTCTCGATGGCTTCTTGTGGCATTTGGTGCCAAATTTGGTCGTGAACCAGGCGCCTCTTTGGCCTCATGTTCCTGACTCTCCTGATTCTCGCTCTCCTCACCCTCGCCCTCCTGCTTCACGATCCTGCTCCTCGCCCTCTTTCTCATTCTCCTCTTGTGATCCTCACTCTGCTGATCCTCGCTCTCCTCTGCTGGTGCCCCTCTCCTGCTCCACGCCCGCCCGATCCTCCCCCTCCTGACTTTCATTATCGCCATCCTCGCTCTCCTGGCCCTCCTCCACATGCACTCCCTCCTGCTCCACGCGCGCCTGATCCTCACCCACGCGACCCTCACTCTCCTGATCCTCCCCCTCGCGAGCCTCGCCTTTTCTGATCCTAACGCACATTATCATCTCAATCAGTTTCCTCTCGCCGAGAAGCGCACGCCCTTTCTTCTATATATAGAAACTCCCAATCAACCGCAGCGCGGGCGGCCAGTATACACATTGTGTCGCTGTCCAGGGGGAGGGAGGAGCGGGGAGGGGGGGAGGGGGGAGGGCGGAGGGAGGCAGCTGGCCGCTCCACGACCCGCGCGCGCACAGCTTGCAGAGAAAGAGAAAGAGAGAGAGAGAGAGAGCGCCGCCGCTCAGAGGATGCCGCGCTCGCGGTCCGGCGGCCGGGGTCTCGTAGAAATCAGGTTTTTGTCTAGAACGCTAAAATAAGTTGGCATGTGGATTTCTGTACTCATATTCAGTGCTCGAGCTTTCTGTGCGCGGTTTCCATATCGAACTGTTAGTTTGACTTGGCTCGTGATCGAGCCCCAGGCATCCTGCCCCGAGGAAAGATACACTCTTCCTATCCTACACAGTGGAAGTTGATTACTGATATCATCTTATTATCTCATCGACTTCTCTTCGAGTCAACCTCGACGAGGCGATAAATCATTGGTAGTGCGGAGCTTGGTTGAATTGTTTATCTGGACTCAACGCTCTCAATATGGCATCATCGAGCACTGGCCAAGGCGTCGAGATCCAGAGGATTCCGACGTGGGATGGCAAAGCGGAGACCCTGGACGAATACCAAGCGGAGGTGGAGCTGCTCACCCTGGCGAACAAGGAGGACGACAGGAAGCTGCTGGGACCCCGGCTGGTGCAGACTCTCCCGAAGAACACCGCGCACAGGAAGCTGGCCCTGCGTCTGCCGCGGACGGAGGACACACCAGACACGATCGTGGGAGAAAAAGGCCCGGAGAACCTATTGAAGGCCTTCCAGAAGAGTTTGGGGAAGCAAGCATCAAGCGATGTAGTGGACAAAGTGTTCGCATACTATTACGATCGGAAAACGTCAGGCCCCAGAATAAGAAAGCTTGGGCAGACAATCGGCCTCTACGCGGAGCAGGAAGAAGATGCCTACCAGGAGATGGAGAAGAGCGTCCGGGCTATATGTCCGGACATCGACGCGATCGACCTGATCCCCGACGAGCTGCGCGGGATCATCTTCCTCGTGAATGCGGGCCTCGACCCGAGCGAGCGAGCCACTGTGGTGGCGGGCCTCAGCGACTGGTCCATCGAATCGGTGATCGACAAGCTGAAAAATGTATGGTCGGACAAGGACCTGGCCGCGAGGGACAACATAGTGGCGAGGCGCAGGGACCTGAGGATCCAGAGCACCCGTGACAATCGTCGCGATCGTTCGAAGATCCATTACCAGGAGGACGAGGACGATCTCGACGAGGTCTACTTCGAGGGTAGTAACGAGCCCGACGAGGAGGACGTCAATTACGAGGAGGAGGCCGCCGCCGAAAAGCAGATCGAGGAGCTGGAAGCATACGCGGAGGACGCAGAGGTGTATGCGCAGGACGCCCACCGTACCTTCACGGAGGCGAAGAAGATGCTGGCGGAGGCGGCCAAGAACAGGAGCGGCTACTTCCCGGTGGTCGGGATCGGGCAGCTCCCAGAGAAGCAGCAGCGCGACACGCAGAAGGCGACGGCGAAGGCGGCCCTGCGGCCCACCAAGCCCCCAGGCCCACAGGGAGGGGAGCGCCGTGCTCCTCCACCACCACAACCAGGGAGCCGCCGTCCGACTGGCAAGGGCAAGGGCCGTGGGATCAAGTGCCTGATATGCCAAGGCCCGCACCGTGCGGTGGACTGCCCGAAGCGGCTAAGCACCGGAGTCGACGGCCACAACATGCAGATGGCCACCGGGCAGGTCGGTTTCGTGGACGTCGAGACCGACGAGACGAACTACAGCAACGAGGGCATCCCGCCGGAGGATTGCCAGGCGGGCTGGGTACACGAGGAGATGGTCGGCTACGCGATCATTGACACCGGGGCCTCCAAGAGCATGATCGGCCTGGACCTCGCCATGGCGATTCAGGACACGATCTTGGAAGAGACGGGCAGCGACCAGGTCACGATGGACTACAGCAAGACGACGAAGTTCACCTACGCGGGCGGCGAAAAGGGCCAGTCCATCGGGAAGTTAGGGTTCGAGCATCCGGTAGCGCTCGTGGAGGACGATAATAAGCTGTGGTTCGACCTTGTGGAAACCAAGTCCCCGATGCTG